CCCCCCTCCCATCGTCTGCGTGACCCCCTCACTCATCGCGCAATCGCAGCATGAACGACATGTTCGCCAAGGATGCCGAGGCTCTGGCTGCGGCGTCCGGGCCCAAGTTGGACATTCCTAGCGTGAGCTTGCAAGCTGTCGCGGCGTAGTCTTGTCGTGAATTCCCGAGATTGTTTATCCGTGTTCTCTTTGTTACCTTCCACGGGGAACCAAAAACCGTTCATCTCACAACATGGTATTTTTGCAAGCAAAATCGTTTGTTTGTTTTTTTCAAGTATGGATACTTGCATGTGTTTTTCTGAAATGGGTGTTTTAGTAATGTTTTTCATCAAATATGATTTTTTTTTTGTTGTTGTCGCGCGACGCAGCTGCTGGCCGGGAGCGGCGGGGACGATGGTAGGTCCTCCATGGTCGGCCTTATGAAAGCTTTCAAGGGGCTGTACGGAGACAAGCAGGAGGTACAACGCGCGGTGACAAAGCACATGGCCGCTGAATTTGTTAGCTGCATGGTTTTGAGCTACGAGTGCGAGAGGTGTTGTTTTCATGTATGTTACGCTGTCGTTTTTGTTGTCGCATGCCGCTGTGACTGAGGTAGTGGTTGCTGCTGCTGCTGCTGCTGTTGCTGCTTCCGTTGCTGTTAACGTGGTGGTGTCGACGTTGCTTCAGTTCCTGCTGTTACATTGTTTTTGTTGCTTTCGCTACACTGCCACTATTTGCTGCAACTGTTTTTCGTGCGGGAGACCTCACTGATGGTTTTGGCAACGTTGTTGCTGCTGTTGTTGTTGCTGTTGCTGCTGCTGCTGCTGCTGTCGCTGCTGCTGCTGTCGAGTTGGATATTGAATTGGATATTTTTGCGTCGCTGCTTCGACGACGTCAAATGAGCACTCTGTCCTAGTCCACGGACAAAACCAATTTTCCGTGTCAGTCCTGAATCAACACGAAGCAGGTATTTTTTCAACGCATCTCGTCCCTAGTCTGCTCGTTTAACTCTTGATAGTCGTCGCAAAACTGCACTTTTCGCCTCTTGCTGCCCGGGAATAATCTCACGACGATGGCACGCGTCCTCTAGGCTAAGGATAGGAAGAGCACGTGGGGGGGAATCCACAGAACCCAGAAACACGGAACGAGGAAGGGCAAGCGCAAGCATTGCAGCAGGAAGAGGTCAAAGCAGGAACCGGAGTCTTCTGCTGCATCCGCGGGCGGGGGGAAGAAGGCCGCGGGTGAGGAAAACGGAGAGCGCTTCGTCCGCGAAAGCGTTCTCCTGGGTGGGAAGGCGGGCGAAAAGACGAGTGTCGGCGATGTGTCGGCATCAGCATCATCGCAGGAAGGAGGGTCCTTGAACAGCACCGCGACGGCTTCGTCGGGCAAGCCCCAGAAGGTGTGTGCAGGTTATCTTGCTCCACGAGACGGTTCGGTCACACGCGGTTTGTTACAAGCGGCTGCTCTATACTTTTTGGAACGTTGTCGCCACCAGTAAGAACAGGAAGTTCCGCGGGCAACCTCAAGACCGCAAACGGCGTCTTCTTTTCATGTTTTTTTTTTTATTCTGCGCCATCCTGTTGTTTCCATCTTCCTTTTGTTTTTATGCCTCCGGGGTTTTTGGCTGTACTCGTTTTACGAGGCCTCCTAACCTCTGGGACCTCTGGCTTTTCTCATTGATGCACGACTTTTTCCGAGACCTCGTAACCTCTGGTTTTTACTCATTGGTGCATGCCTATTTTCGGAGACCTCCTAACCTCTCGTTTTGTTCTCGTTGGAGCACTTTTTCCGAGACTTGCTACCCTCTTCGTTTTTCTCATTGATGTACTGCATGCCTTGCTGTTGTAAACGAAAACATGACAGCGTGTGTTCGTGGTGAGCTTCCGTCCTGGACACTCCCCCGAGGCGACGATGCAGAAAGAAATGGACCTGCTATCCGAGACGGTTTCATTTCTGGTGGCACACGGGAACACCACTACTGACGAGGCGAGTGTGACAATGAAATATAGACAGTGAGACAGGCAGACAGACAGACATACAGTCAGACAGACAGACAGCGACAGATAGACAGATAGACAGATAGACAGATAGACAGCGACAGATAGACAGGCAGACAGGCAGACAGATTAACAGAGAGGGAGGGAGAGAGAGAGAGAGAGAGAGAGAGAGACAGAGAGAGAGAGAGAACGATGGCTTCCACCATTACCTAGTACCGGCGATGGCATGATTTGTTTTTGCAAGATCACCACGAGAGACGAGGCTAGCGAGTCCGCATGTTCTATCTCTATTCGGGGTTCAGGAACATTGCCAACGAGTTCATACTGCTACGTCACCAAACTTATGTTTCCACTGGTGAGATTTTCTGTTTCTTCAACCTTCTCTGTGGCCAAGCTTGTTCTCGTTGTTCGCGATGTCGCGGCGGTGGCGGCTTCTTCTACTCCCGGGCAGGTAGTCGTTGTGCTCGAGTCGCCTGGCGGCGAAGTGACCGAGTTTGGGTTGGCGGCGGCAAGGCTGGCCCGTCTCAAGGACAGAGGTTTCCGTCTCACGGTCTGCGTGGATAAGGTAAGGTGCGGCGCGGCGGTGCCAGTGCAGTCGCGATCGGGTGTGTGTGCGAGTTGCGAATCACTCAGGTGTGGTGGTGCAATCGCGTGTTTGTGTGTGTGTGCGGCGTGAATCGCACATGAGGCGATAGTGCAATCGCGCGCGTGGGTGTTTTTGCTATCATCATCGACCGGGCTAACCGCCTGACCAATGAAAATACGCCAGTCTCAGTGCGGTTGAATACACGAAATGCTTCTACAAGGCGAGGGTGTGTGCGGCGTGAATCATACAGGGTGTGATGGTGCAATCGCGAGTGCGCGCGTGTGTGTGCGTGGGCCCCGCAATCACAGGTCGGCATTCTGGGCTATAGAAGTATAGTAGTCGCCAGGAAGTGGGGTATGTACTGCCCCGGCCGGGGCTGCAGCTACTGCTGCTGCTCATGCTGCTGCCGCTGCTGTGCAGCTTCTTCTCGGGAGACTGTTGAAGGGCCCCGTTCGTCACTGCTTCGGGATAGCTCTAGTTGCCGCGCTTGATTCGGTGTGTTTTCTCGTGGGCAAAGCTTGTTTGTCCTGCTGACGACCACCATCCCGGAGGGTAGTCCTTACGTTGTACTTGTGTAGCATGAACACCGGGGATCTGGGATCTTCTAATGTCGAGGCAATTTTCATGCTTTGTGGGACGCCACCAGCAAGCATTAGGCGCGATATTCGGCGGTTTTGTACAGTCACCTCGGCACGTTTCGTCGCTGTCTTCTTTTTGTGACCAGAATCGTCCTCTATTTTTGTTCGTTTCATTCTTCTTCGTTTGCGTCGCTGCTGCGCATGCCACACGCAACCTGGTGTGTATGGGAGATGACGCGGTTTTCCATACACTCGGTACGGTTTTGACGCGTAGCGCTTGACGTAACATAGACGTTAGTTCCGTACAGAAAAAGTTCGAGACGAATGCGAATCACCAACGTTATGATAATCGCAAGGCATGCATGTGTATGTCAGGTTGCTGCGAGCGGAGGGTACATGATGGCCTGCATCGCCGACGAGCTTACCACGGCGCCCTTCGCGATGCTCGGCTCGATCGGCGTCGTCGGGGGTATGGCGAACTTCAACAAGGCGCTCAAGAAGTACGGCGTCGACTACTTCCAATTCACCTCCGGTGAGACTTTGAATATGTCAACCTGTTGGATTAAGCGTGCAATCGAAGAAGTTGGGTTTGGGTTAGAAATACGGTCTGCGCGCCCCCTCCCTATAATTTTTTGTCATTAACGTTATTTCTCGCTCTGAGGCGGTTATTTTGTTGTTGGCATAAACGAGTCGGAGTGGTACTGTGAGAGACCGGAACGTTTTTCGAGTGCGAAAATCACACCGCTCTTACGGGTTGACCAAATTCAAATGCTTCAGGCTGCCTCGGTGCCCAGGAAACGGTGTGTTTCTGTTTGCTTGCGTGCGTTAATTGAGTTGTCATCGATCGCTCTTACAGCTTGACTATTGAAAATTCGTAAGTCTCTCTCCAGTGCTCGGAAAACGGTTCGTGTGCGTATGTGCTTCTTGAATTGTCATCGACCGCCCTAACCACTGAAAACGGCTCAGGATAGGGCGATATGCGCACGTGTGTATGTATGTTCGTTCTTCGTTCAAACCCTCGGCAGGGCAACACAAGTCGCTGGTGGGACCATTCCAGGAGGTGACGAAGGAGAACAAGGCCATGCAGCAGAAGCAGATGGACGCCATCCATACCGCCTTCAAGACGCACGTACACAGGTGAGAGTGACGCAGAGGGCGATCGTAGCCGCGGCTGCCACGTACAGAGCACAACCGCTTGAGAAGGTCTTACTTTCCACGAGGCTCATTCCTTGTCTCTTCGACGGGGTAGCTAGCCTAACAGCGGCCTGGTTGAGTTGGCGTCAACTGAGCAACTGTCCTACCACTATTCTTTCTGTTCGAGTGTGGAGTTCTTAGCTCTCAGGCTCTTGTCGTAGCCCCTTTGGGCGGTGTCGCTGACGGACCATTTACGGCCGTTGTAGGGCGTTTTTGGCGCGACGTCTGCGGAATCACCGTTAGCTGTCCTTGGCGGCTGAGCGAACGGGAATACCCCGGGTCCGTCCTACCTCAGGTGGTAACCATGGATGTTGTCGTTACTGCTTCTGATACCATTGTTTTGTGCACCCGAAGCTGTTGGCTGTCCGTAGAGGCATGCGGGTACATCGACTTGGTTGCATGGTGATTGTGAGCCACTCTTCCCCCCACCCCCCTGGCTACGCTAGGTAACACCCCCTATCCACACCTTGCGAACCAAAGGACGTTCAAACCAACGTGTGGTCGACTATACACCATTAGCCACCACATTGAGCCGCTGCACTAGCCCCACTCACTCCGCTTCGATATGTCTGTGGTAGGCAACATGAGGCCACGGTATCGGCGGAGCAGGTATCTATCTATCTATCTATCTAGGTGGTCATTGAGTTGTGGTCGGTCGCCTTGTTTGTCTTTCCTTCGTTGCTATGCATTCGTACCTCGTTGAACGACCACCATATTGAGGGTTTCCTCGGTAGCGCCGGTGTGCGCCAGCCAGATTTCACCGGCACTACGCCCCCCCCCCCCCCCCCCCCCCCCCCCCCCCCCCCCCCCCCCCCNATGAGACAAGTTGAACATTCCGTCCATGTCCCACGAGTTTTTTCGCTTACACTATGCCGGGCAGCGACAGTATTCAACGGGCACTTGTAAAGGTACCCCCAATGGACCGCCAGTTGTGGGCGGTGTAGCCTCGTGCCTTTACCGTTCCCTCGTGCTGCGTACCACCCTCTTCGACCCAGCACCACCACCTGCTCTGCCCTGCCCTGCACTGCCCTGCACTGCCCGCCTGCCTGCCTGCCTGCCTGCCTGCCTGCCTTCCCGCCCGCCGCGGGCCCTCGGCGGTGGCACACAGGTATCGGCCTTCGGTGGACATCGAGGCGGTGGGGACCGGGGAGATCTGGCTCGGGCAAAGGGCGGTCGAGATGCATCTCGCTGATAAGGTGGAAAATCTGCGAGTGATGAACCAAGGCTAGTTTTGAACCAACCGTCGGTGATGATGGCGAACAACACTGTCCTGAAGCTTGAGGTGTCTCGTGTTCTGTTGCTGGGTGGACCCGGGGAAGCAACGTCGCTCGAGGCGTAAGTTACGTCACAAGCGGGGCGGGTGGGGATGAGGTTGTGTGCGTGTCCATTGTATCCTTTTCGATCCTTTTGTCACCTCTCTCTCTCACTCTTATCGTCTCTCTCTCTCTCTCTCTCTCTCTCTCTCTCTCTCTCTCCGTCTCTCTCTCCGTCCCTCTCTCTTTCTCTCTTTCTCTCTCGCTCCCTTTGTCTCTTTCCCTCTCTCCCTCTTTCTCTCTCTCCCTCTCCCCTCTCTCTCATTGTGGCGCTTCCTCGCTGTCGCCACTTTCCTAACACACAGGTCACCACGGCCATGGAGTACCTCCAGGGGAGAATGTCCGACGCCCAGGTGTTCCTCGTGAAGCCCCACAAGAAGAAGATGGCCGCAGGCTCGAGTCTACTCCGTGAGCTGCTTTTTGGCCCACTTGCCATTTCGGGGAGATTCGCATCGAGGTACGAACTTTAGAAACCGAAATCGAACCATTCGGCTGGTTAGGATGGATGTCGGTTCGGACCCCACGTCTACCTGTTTTTTTCAGCCGAAATCGATTCCATAGACTATTCAGCACTGACTAGTCTAATAGTTTGGTTTGTTTCGGAATCCACGAGTAGCGTTTTCCTGAATTTTTCGAAGCCGAAAACAATTCTTCAAGCTAGTCAGCGCTGACGAGACCATCAACGTGTACATGGGGTCATAGCTGATTATTTTATTGGCTTGGTTTCGATTCGGACCCCACGACTCACTTGTTTTGAAGCCGATATCAAACCATTAGCTTGGTCAGCTAGACTGTCAGCGCTGACCAGTGGTTTACTGTCGGCTTTTTGTATTGGTCACATCAATCTAGTGAGAGTCATCGATTGGCCAGGTGGCAGTACTGTAAGAATGACGCACTTCATTATGGGTGCCGTCTGCTTGGGCAGCATGATCCCAGCCTACCCTCTCGTCACGTGGCTGTTTATTCACAAGCTACCCATCTTTTCCTGCTTTGCCGAACATCGATTGTGCCGTGTGTTGTGTTTTATTTCACTCCGACCCACCCAGGCTGTGTAGATCAATTGTGGTCTTCTCGCCTAGCTCTTGTCTTCTGTGCAGACATGGCCGCACGCCGGGGGAAGGTCCTCGTAAACCCACATATTGCATATGCCCAACACTTAAATTTCTATCTCGACCCGATGGTCCAATGGCGGTGAGCAAGTCCACCAATCGATGTCAGCTTTGGAGTGAAAGGACTCGGCGGTTCCCGCGAATGAATGATGCCATCAAGCGTCATCCACGGCGAATTTGGAAGTTCTGAATTTCACCGAAAGGCGACTTGACGACCGTGGGTGACGTCACCGGTCGACCATGGACTATTCGAACACAGGGAAATTACTTCCAAGCAGACTGGCCGATCAGAAAACTACAGGCACCTTCATTGTTCGAGACAGAGAAAGGTGCCCACAGTTTTCTTAGTGATCAAACGTTTTTAAATGAACTTTCTTATTGGCCAATAACCCTTGGCCAATCAGAAAACTGCTGGTACCTTTTCTCTCGCTTTGACACGCTTGTTGCCTCTCACCTATAGCCAGACTTGAGATATCTCACACACACACTGCGTTTACATTCACTGACACGAAAGCCCATGATAATATTGCACCTTAACCTTGTCTCACGCATCACGCTCATCATTCCTAAAGCCCCTTGTTCTCCTTGCCGCAACCGAACTATTTGACATCCTCCGCTCCCCTCTCCCGTCACTAAATTCACGCCCTACGAGAAAACACCAGGAATACATTGTATAGAATCCACCGTTGAAACAGCAATCAGGATGTTAAAACCCTCACATACCTTTTACCTTACTCTTTGTCCGTGATATTGTGTCCGTGTCGGATGGCACGCAGCGTTGCTGTGCTTTCCACAGTCCTACGGCAGTTGCTTCGGCAGCAACATCCCTGCCGCACAGCTAGAGGGGCGGGTCTTCTTCACCCAGAGGGCCCGCGCGGATCCACTCAGCTGCCCGGCAACGGCGACGCTCTAGCCCGAGAGCTGCTAGCAGGTTCTACTCCTTCTGCCGCGATCATCTGGGGCGGCGCAGACGGGGTTGGTGGTGGGCAAATGGGTAACGCCGTCCCATTCGGCGGGACGAAATTTACGCCGGCGACGGCGGCGGCGACGGGTTCTGGCGCGTTTTGGGATTCCGGTGATGCCGGTGACCAAAGATGGGGCGCAGCAGCGTTGGCACAAGATAGGGACGATCGGGTGTTCTGATTTTTCGGAAGGGGCACCGCGGAAGTGTGATTGGAAGGTGGGGGGGGTTGTGAATTTTGCGCAGACAGCCTCTTCCTCTGAGTTCGGGGATGCCGGTGATGGCGGTGATCGAAGATGGGGCACCGCGCGGGCAGACGCGACGGGAGGAAAGGACGGTCGCATGTTCTGATGGTCGGACGCGAGATTGGGGGAGGGTGGGGCTTTGTGAGTTTCAGAAATCAGGTTCTTCGTGATTTTGGGGTGTCAGGGCATTATCGAAATATGGTCCCGCGGCAGCATCGCCAAGGGTGACGACTTGTTCTGGTGGTCGTAGATCGACCTATTTTGTCGGGGCACAGCTTCAGATGGTGGTGGGAGGGGGGATATGATCCGTGAGGGATTCTTTTGTATCGACCGCACGGCAGCCGAAGCAATTACGGTTCGTGATTTTGCACGTGACGCGTTCCAACCCTGCCGACAATGATTGGTGCAATACCGAGCAACGCCAATGATGGCAGGGGCGCAAATTGATGTGTGGGTGATGTCTTTTGAGAATATTGAGTATGAGCCTCCCACGCCAAGCTTTGAGATGAGAATGAAAGGTAAGCCACCAAGGTGCGCGGGGGATGGGGGTGCACGTCCACCCGTCGGAAGACCATGAAACAAGTTTGCTAGAAAGAGACTGTGTTCCACGCGCACACCGCTACAGCTTCAAACCCATTTTGACTAGAACGGGGCCGTGTTGTTTCATGCCCCCACCGCGTGGAAAATATGCTACACGGTGCACACCACAGCAGCGGGAAACGATAGTCACTGTGTGGCATGTCGGTAGGAAACCGACCAAATTGATTGTTGGTGTAGGAGCGTCAAGAGGCCTCCGCGGTCGTTGTGAAACGTAGTTCGCCTAAAGCTGGGGTAGGTGTGAAGACATGGGAGTGCATTGTAAAGCATGGGATCGTTTGGTTCATCCCCGATCAGGGTGGTTGGTGGGGGACCCTGACTTCCCCATCGATGCCGGCCAACCTGTTTCAATTCAGCGGAAACCAAATTTGAATGGAAACGAAAGTGGGACAGGACACGGAATACTGGAGATTGAAGGTAGGGCATGAGTGGTCTCGCGAGAACACGACGTTTAGATTTTCCGACATGTCTTGCTTGCCTGAGGTGCGCTGTCAAAATCGAGTTAGACTAGAGGGCGACCTCAACCTGTAAGCGGACCAAGCGCCCGCTTCGGGCAAACCCTTGCTGTGTCCGTGCAGGGCTCGGGAGTGAAGCGGGGGCGATATTGTGGTGCTTTGGAGTACCCGGCGTGTTGGCTTTCATTCACAAGCCTGCTCTGCCAAGCCAGGTTGAAGTTTTCGGAGTCAAAATACATAATATTCCCGTGGTCCAAACATGGAACTATCATGGCATTTTGTTGGTGTGAGGGAAATTTGTTCACTCAGAGTTCATGTTTGGACGATAAAATGTCTTTAAACTATTGTGAAACCTAAAAGGGGGGGTGTACTCATAGTAGGGCATGCCGTAGTCGTTAGACCATTGACCTCGCATGCCTACAAAGCCGGGACGGAGCACGCCGGGTTCTCACCGGACCAGGCTCTCACATCACCAAGCGCGAAGCGCCGTGAGATATTCGGCGAGTCGCATGAAGGGTGCGCTGCATCCTGCTAAGGGTGTTCGGCATCTTGTGCTTACTTCCTTGCGTACGGATGACAGCTGCGTATGAATTAATTTACATTATCTGGTGTTCACTTCCAGACACAGTCATGAGCACTGTGTAACTGCCTCGAGGGTGCTTGACCATTTTGACACAACGTGGTGCGATCATCCCCCTTGCGCGGAGTGAGGGTTCTCGACCCCGCACAACATGATCCACTCGACCACCATTATGGTAACCGCCAAAAACTAGGGAAAAAAAACCACGGTTACGTGGTTGCCGAGTTCACGAAGTGAATTGGGTTGTTTTACAACGTCGTTGCCAAGCAACGAAAACCCAGCCCCGATGGCAAACACCGGTGGGGGGCGGCTTGTTTTACAACGTCGTTGCCAAGCGACGAAAACCCAATCCCGATGGCACCGGTGGGGGGCGGCTTGTTTTACAACGTCGTTGCCAAGCGACGAAAACCCAATCCCGATGGCACCGGTGGGGGGCGGCTTGTTTTACAACGTCGTTGCCAAGCGACGAAAACCCAATCCCGATGGCAAACACCGAGGGGGAGGGGGGGAAGCAAGCACTCGTGTGGGAGTCAAGACATTTGCAATTTCCGCGATTGTATGATGGCGAGGGAACATATTCATTCAGGATTCAAGCTTCGGCAATGAATCGGCCTGAAAATGTGAGCCTCCACGCTGGGAAACGAAGTTGGGTTCCCCCATGATTTTTTTCGGGGGGGGGGGGTTGGAATGCCNGCCCCGATGGCAAACACCGGTGGGGGGCGGCTTGTTTTACAACGTCGTTGCCAAGCGACGAAAACCCAATCCCGATGGCAAACACCGAGGGGGAGGGGGGGAAGCAAGCACTCGTGTGGGAGTCAAGACATTTGCAATTTCCGCGATTGTATGATGGCGAGGGAACATATTCATTCAGGATTCAAGCTTCGGCAATGAATCGGCCTGAAAATGTGAGCCTCCACGCTGGGAAACGAAGTTGGGTTCCCCCATGATTTTTTTCGGGGGGGGGGGGTTGGAATGCCCTGATTGGATTGGATTGTAGTCTGGGTGGACATCTAATATGTAGGTGGAGTTCGTTGTTGATCGTTTTGATTTCAGCGGGTGCGTGCCCGCAGCATCCCTGGCAAGAGCTTGCACTTCCCTTGGGGTCTGAATTCGCACCTTGTACCATGGTTCTTCATGGTACTGGTCTCTTGGCGGATTGGAGGCGTTACGGGGTACGCAAACGGTGAAGGACAGTTGTGCATGTGATGCTTGAGGGGGATTGCTGACTATTTCAGCTATTGATCGAGCACATTTTGTGAAAAGGTCTAAATACGAACGACCAATTGAAAATCTGCGAGCGCGTGTTCTTGTTCCTTGCCTGTGGTGTTGGTAAACCGTTGCCCCCGCAACCCCTCATGGATCACACGGAGTTTCATGCCTGCAGTATGTTTCGCCACACGTCAGACTGTATCTACAAGCAGTGGAAGGCCTTTTTTCTTTTATATAATTTGACGATCCAGTTGACCCCGTCTTCGACACTTCACACCCTTCATCGCAGTGCTTCATTCAACGTTGTCGAAGATGGCACCGGTACGAGTTAGGGGCGCCAACATTCCACTCATTCAAGGCAAGATAAGGCCCTCAATTGGTCGTCTGCACTGCAGCCGTTGCGCGGGGTTATCAGTAGATGGTGATGATGGTGATGTAAGAAAGGTGAAAGAAGATGGTGATGGCGCAGGCAACGCCAAGAACGATTGATTAATTCTTGGCCCAGGACAATATTCAAAAGCACCGTTCGACATCGAACGGATTCATTCATTTGACGGCCGCCCGAGCGGCGTGTGGCCCGTTCCTCCCGCATGCACACGCTGTTGCAGCCCGAACGGAAAATACGTCATGTGACGCTCATGGCTGACTTCAGAAAGAAATCTCGCGGCGCATGCTCTGGGCATGTGGTGGCTGGAACTACGTCCGACATGCTCACAACGCTGCGCGATGTGACAGTACAAGCCAGTAGTGGCCCCTGTTAAATGGAGGACAGAGGGGTTTGGCCGGCCAATGCCGGGCGCTGGCACCATCCAGGGTATGAACCAGCTATTATAGAACAATCCACCCGTGCCACGTGGATTGACAGGGCGACCGGCCGCAGCGCTGCAGCATGATGCAGGCGTCCAATTGCTGTAGCTCGTGCCATCAGTTAGCTCTTCTCTTCTTCGTCCTCCTGTCGTGTGCCCTCGGCGCTGTCAGAGTGCATGATTTGGTGTATTGCGCTTTGTCCTTCTACGACCCTCACGGGAACCGGGCGAGTTAGTCCAGCGTACTCTTCGGCCCCACTGAAATATGATCCACTGCAGCGGAGGAGAGACGGCGTTTCGTGGAACACACGAACCTCCACCGTCTCGAAACAATCTTCCCTGCCAATACAAAGAAAGTCCAGAGCCGACACCTCCACCCCAGCGTACAAGCAACTCCGAAGTAGTTGGCATGTGCTCCACCGACAACGAACGAACGCGTGTTTTCCGGAGAATCAAACCGTACCGCGACCAACACAAACGTGGGACGGTTCATCACAACAAGAACCCGTGCTAGTCATGACTGTGCTACCATCTGCGGTGATGCGGCCGAGGCCGAAGGGGCATCTGCAGCTGGAGCTGCGGCGGCGGGCTCGAGAACGTGCGGAAACCGGTTTCCGATGGTCTCGCAGCAGTTGTTAACCCTAACGAAACAAAAGGGAGGGGGGTGGGGGGGG